ATGACAATGTGAGAAGACAAGAGTCGACCAAACAAGACATTGTTCGGTTACTGATCACAAACGGTGCCGATGTGAATGCACAGGGTGGATATTATGGCAATGCATTACAGGCAGCATCGTACTTGGGCACCCCGAAAACCGTTCAGATTCTCATTGATGCGGGAGCAGCTGTCAACGCACAAGGTGGAACATATGGCAATGCATTGCAGGCGGCATCGTCATTCCGTGGGAGTCGCCGCAATATGTACCCGGAAATCGTCCAGATGCTCCTCAAGGCGGGGGCCATCATTGCCAACACACAGGGAGGATTACACGATACTGCGGTAGAGGCAGCGCTGGGGGCGGACAGCTTGAAGATCGTTCTCCTCTTAATCGGGAATGACCCTGATTATCATTGGGCCAACTTGAGAGAGAGCATATTATATAAACTAATCCAGTTCCTCATCGGGAATGGGGTTGATGTGAATGCATATGGTGGCCAATACGGCACTATGTTGCAGGTAGCATCATATCTGGGTCACTACAAAATGCTCCACTTCCTTGTCGAACTGGGTGGAAATGTGAATGTGCAAGGAGGCAAATACGGCCCACCGCTCCAGGCTGCGTGGATGAGGCGCTGCAAGATGCTCGCAGATTGGGTCCCGGATAACGAACCATTGGCACGTCAGCTTGCCTGTTGTGAAAACTACTCGGCCATGGTCCAACTTACGAAGAAACATCGGATCCCTGTGACAAAAGATAACCTGCAGTGTTTCGTCAACTTTCTGTGGATACACATATTTCTAGTGAAACAAGGTGCGGATGTCAGCGTACTTGATGGACTTATAGTTGGGAGTGCAAACTGCCCTGCTGGTCGAAATCATTCTCGGAAGGTAATGATTGCCTCCTGTTTATCGTGGTTTCTGGTGGCGCTGAGTATCAGTGGGTTATCGTATTACATTTTGCTTGTGGCTTAGGAAAATGAGATGTACATTGTCCGCCAATTATGAGGGTCCGGATAATGACGCGCAATTCAAAGAGCCTGATCTCTTGAAATTAATGTAGATCTTGCACCAATTGGGGTAGCGTAGGGTTTCGCAGCCGACAGACAGGTAGGCGAGAAGTGTTGCAATGAAAGCGGGATGAAGTGCATGGTCGTTAAAGAAAGAAAGAGGCAAGCGAGTTTGACAGTGCCCGAGGGAGTTGATGATCTGAGCTCGCCGAGTCGCACACATGCTAGTCCAAGTTGAACACTAGTCTTAGTTCTTGCTCAAGTTCTGTGACCGTAGCTCTGTAAGTGGGCTTCTGAATAATGTATGATCTGTACAGGAGCCATTGCCACTGAAGGTAACCTAAAGCCTTATGTTTCAACTGGTTATTTAGGACGACACATGCTTGTCGTAACATACTTGAACTCGTGACTCCTGCAAGCCTGGAAAAGAAAGCCGCACATAGTTTATGGCCCAGGCTCGAGTCGAATGAGCGGCTCCTGCAGACATTATATTCTTTATGGACACTTTGGAAATTGAGTGCAGATGCAGACCCTCCGCTACCGGGCCTTTTCTGCTATCAGTGAGCTTGCTGCAATTTTTCCAGCTGAAGGAAAAAGAAATGCTTGTATGTACTCCAGAATGGCCGAGCCTCGGTATCTTCTGCTGACTTCCTCTCAAGTGTGAATTGAATGCGAGGTGCGGACCGTCCGCTACCGGGCCTTCCTCTCCTCCCTTTTCACCTCATTTACCCAGCAATTTCTGCGCAGCCGAAAAAAGCTGAAACGAAAGGATATGGCCCAGGTTCGAGTTGAACGAGCAGCTCCTGCATAACACCAAATAGCAGATGAATGGAGAGCAGGGGCGGAAACCGTCCGCTCCCAGACCGAAAATGAACTCACTGAGGATTAAGATCTCTGAAAGCCAAAGTATGAAACGTGGAATCCAGTCGCTGTTAGGAAAACATCGACTTGGCTCTCGAGACTCAGACTCACAACGAAATTCAACGACCGTCTCAACCATGCAACCGTTGAGAGCATGATCGAGGACGTGGCTTAGGTCAGACGGGGTCAAGTCAAAGGTGTTGCTTCCAGCGAATGGCCTGTACAGATCGGACTTATGATCAGCAATGCAGGGAAACTTCCGAGTGAGGATTGGCCAAAGCGTTTATTTATTTGACTCGGATAGCATCACAGCGCAATTCACCACGCCTCCCACTTCTGTCCGCCCATGGCCACCAGACGATTGAACAGCTCATCTCTCAACACCATGGCCGTCACGGAAACCACCTTCCCCCTCCTCGTCACAATCTCCAACCCATCCGCAATCTCCCTATCCAGCGCCCACCCAACAACAAGCCTCGCCTTCCACCCAAACCCTCCCACCTTGCGAATCTCCTTGATATCCCCCATAGCAATGCTCCAAATCGGATTCAGGTCCGATTCCGCCCGCGCCGAGGAGCCCAGACTGCTGATCTTGCCGTCTAACGAGAACGCAACGCAAGGGATGGTCGCTTTCGTCGCAATGTACGCATGTCCCTTCTTGCCCTCGTATCGACACGCAAAGTCAACGGGCCCAGTCATCTCCCGATGCCGTGGCAGAACTCCCAGCCGCCGTTTGGCCGTTTCGCTCCCGGCCTTGGCTTTGAGCTGATCGGCACCGAGCGCGGTATGGACGGTGCCGCGGATGCCCTTCTTGACCAGGTTGACAATTTTGCTGGGTTTGCTGCCAGACTTGCCCTTGGCGTGATCGATCTGTTCGTCGCCGGTATGATGGGCGACGGTGGGATCGGGTTGTAGAGCCACATCGAGTTCTTCGTCTGTAGCGTTCAGTGGCGGTTCTGCACCAGTAGCTCGCAGATTATCGTTGGAGAGTTCAACGGGCTCGTCCGGCGGCGGGTATTCGCTGACCGGCGGCGGAGGCAAAGGTGCTTTGTTTACTTCGCCAATCCGAAGTAATGTGATGGCGAGTTGAGCATTCGTAGGCACACCCTTCAGAACCGTGCTACAATGCAATCAGAACGTATGGTCATGTACGAAGCTGCAAAAAACAACTCACTTTCGAAGCTCCAACAGCTTCTCCCAACGAGGGATTGTTCGGTTCAACCATCTCACACCAACACGAATGATCGGGTCACCAAAGAAAGCGAATCCAAATCCAAAGGTGACGGTCTTGACAAACATGTACGACGTGATGTACATGGAGACGAAGAGAAAAGGCACGAGCAGGGCCGCCAGACGAAGTCGGTAAAGGTGGGGGGGAAACGGCGGCGTGGGCGAAAGCGCATTGGCAAAACGCTCGTAGGTATCCGTAACGTCTCCAATGCCATGCAGGATGGGACGGAACATCGTCCAGACCGCGGTCTCCATCGGAACCTTTGCCTTGACATGGGCCGGCTTGGTCGGTTTGACCTCAGATTTGGCTTTAGCCTCTGTGGCCCCAGCGACGATCTCGGTAGGATCCGGTACAATGTCGTGGACGGCGCCGTCATGGGGGGCTTCGCTCTGAGGGTGCTTTCCACTTGCGCTCGCAATCGCCACGGAGGCGAGGGATGTCACTAGGTGGGCAGCTTCGGCTTCTGCAGCTTCACCTTTGTGGTTTTCTGGAGCGCCGGTCGCAGTGTCAGTGCTTCCCAGGAGGCCCGCGCGTGGTTTTTGGATGCCGCCGCTGACGGGGTCTACGAGCGCGAGAGGTGCAGGTGGAAAGAGTAATGCTCGCGCAGGTGGATAGACAATGAGGACGAGAGTTACAGCGACCAATGTGGGGACAAGCAGGTCCAGAAGCCACGCTAGAAGATACACCTAGAGTAAAGTTTTGAGTCTTCGTCGCGATCGCAGAATCCCGAAAGACCCACTCCACAAGAAACGCTTGTGCGCCGAGTTTCTCGCCAGGACCTCAGTCTCGCGACATGCTTCACGATGGAGATGACGGAAAGACCAACAGTCACATAAAGTCTCTCCAGATTCGCTCTGAGCTTGTCTGGCGAGAATTCTTCTTCATCGGCGATGTTAAGATCGAGTTTTCCGGGCAGTGGATACGGATATTCCTTGACATGATACATTTGCTATGGCGAGCAGCGCAACTTCAGCCAAGATGCACAGTATAGGAAAAGTAAGAACGCACTTTGTTGAACCGTCGAATGAGTAGCCATAGTTCTTCGTTTTCGAGACCGCCGATGAGCGGTTTCGCCACCTTGTCGGGGTGCTGGTTCCACCCTAAGTCCAGCACCTCAGCATCGTGCCCTTCCTGCGCTGCTCCCTTCTCTTCCTGCTCTACCTGAGCCAATGCATGACTATCGGTGGGTGATTGAGTGATGGAATGAGCGACCTCTTTGTGTTCGGGGTCGGTGACTGGCGCCACAGTGTCTGGAATGGGTAGAAAGTCTTTTACAATGGGTTCATCCATCATGGAGGTTGGGAAAGGGAATGACGGTGGCTGTTAAGTAAGGTGTGTCGCAGACAGGAGAGTGGTTGGAGTCTCGAGTGACATCATCGAGGTCAAGGGCAAAGTGCACGGCCACCACGTGACGGTCTCAGACGCGCCATGACATTGACAACATCGGCAAACACGCCGTGTACTCAATCCAAATTAAGTGCAGGTGCGGACCTTCCGCTATCAGGCATTCCTCCCCCCTCTCACTTACTCTGCTCAACGATTTCTCGCCCGCAGTTGAAAAAAAGTGGGACACGAGAGAATGGTCGTCGCCCAGGCTTGAGTTGAACGAGCATTTCCTATGTTCAATGCTCTTAATTCAAATTGAGAGCAGGAGCGGACCACCCGCTACTAAGCCTTCCTCCTCTTCACCTTTCACCCTCTGTTAACCAACAATTTCCGTCCAGCCAAAAAAAAGGGGGACGCGAAGAATGGCCCGAGCTCGAGTCGGATGAGCACTCTCCTGCTGATCTATCTATACTCAAGAACTGGAATTGAAAGTAGGTGCGAACCGTCCCCTACAAGGCCTTACTCCCCTTAACACCCTCTCCAGATTAGAATTTTCCGCTCAGCAAGGAAAAAACAATCTGCATCCGCATATGGCCCAAGCTCGAGTCGAACAAACACCTCCTGCTGAGACCTCACAGTAGCCGCACAATTGGAAGCAGGTGCAGAAGCCTTCAGCTACTAGGCCTACCCTCCCTTTGGCCCTTCCCTCGCTCAACAATTTCTGCGTAGCCAAAAAGAAAGAGGAGTAGGGGACGATGGCCAGGCTCGAGTCGAACGAGCGTTCTCCTGCTGAGGTTGAAAATTCCCAGGAATATGAAGCAGGCGCGGAGCCGTCCCCTACCAGGCCTTCCTCCCCTCCCCCTTTACCTTTCTTTACCCAGCAATTTTCGGTGCAGCCGAAAAAAAAGCTGGAGGTGACGAAAGGATATGGCCCAGGCTTGAGTCGAATGAGCATCTCCTGCTCACTTCAAGTATATGCGAATTGAAAGCAGGCGCGGACCGTCCGCTACCGTGCCTTCATCCCCTCCCCTTTCACCTTCCTTTGCTCAACAATTGACATGAAGCCCGAAAAAAACTGGTGACAACACTACATGGCCCAGGCCCGAGTCAAACGAGCACTTCCTGCTGACTTTCTCAAATATTTGGAAATAGAAAGCAGGGGCGGAAACCGTCCGCCACCGGCCTTTCTCCCCTCCCTCTCTCCTGCCCTGTGCCAGAAGCAAAGAGCACGCCAAGGAGCAAATGGCCTAGGCTCGAGTCGAACGCGCGGCTCCTGCTAAATTTCTCTGATAGTTGAAGAATTGAAAGCAGGTGCTGCGGACCGTCCGCTACCAGGCACTTTTCTGCTATCTGGGAGCTTGGGTGAGTCAGCAATTTCTCCAGCTGAAGGAAAGAGAAATGCTTGTACTTCAGAATGACATAGCCTCGAGTCGAACGACCGTCTCCTGCTGAACACATATTGGGGAGTATTGAAAGCAGGTACGGACCGTCCGCTACCGGGCCTTGGTATGAGATCCCGTACAATGGGTGCCGGATGACGAGACAATGAACACGCAGGAGACAATAAAGGCTCCGAACAAAGGTCCAAGATAATTGTAACCGGCAGTTTAATCAAGTTCATGTTTGGCGAGCACGCGAGGATAATCGCTGGAGTCCGCTGGAGTCCGCCGGAATTCCACCCTCGACTTTGGACCCAAAAAGCGTTGGTAGAAAGCTGTCGAGAAAAGGTGTAGATTCGTGCCAGTGTGACGATGGCCTTCCGTAACGCAGCAGGAGATTGGTGCGCCGACATCGCACAATTGAAAACTTAAGGCAACGCGTTACGACAGAGGCGGGAAGAAGACAGATGTAGATTGGGGGGAAACAAATTGGTGGCGTTGATAATTGATTGGCGAGTATATTCGAGCTTGATGGGGACCTCGGCGTCCTTGTCGGCGTCTGCATCCAATGGCAGGTGCCAGGTTGAATGTGTGCCTCAAAAGCCAAGCAAGCCAGCGCTGCCAACGATGGGTTGGCAGCAGTGACGAAACCTGGAAGACCTGGCGCTGAGATGTGGCTACGGTTAAGACTCGAGAAAGTTGGCGGTGACTCCCGCCAACAACAGCGTCCGAGTCCGAAAAAGGCAAAATGCACATCACGAGAGCACGTGGTGTGAACCGTCCGGCACCGTCACACAGGCAGAGTGGGACGTGCATTGCGCTTGCTCTCACCACCACCACGGACCCCGGCGTCGGTGGTATCCATCGTAGGGTCTAGTTTGTTGGTTGCGGCTGTCGTGTTGCTGTCGAGTCACCATCCGGATTCTGGTCTCCAGACTCCATCGAGTCTGCATTCGGCATCCTCGCTGCGCCTCGATAACAACTCGTCTTCTCGCGGATTCGGTACTTCGTCTGCGCACTCGAGCGCTCGTTAATTCGGCTTGCGCCTCGATACCTGTCTCTTCGATAGTTCGGCTCACCCATGGGCCCGTCTCGAAAGACTCGCGCACCGAAAAAGCGCGCTCGGACGCCATCGACCGGGACTCGAAGCGGTACAAGAAGGAGTGCAAGATCCTCCTCCTCGGCTCCGGCGAGTCTGGCAAGAGCACCATCGTTAAGCAGATCCCCCAAGCGCCGAGTTTCACCACTTATAAGAACGTGCTCAGGCTGGGCACTGCGGTAGAGTTTTATTTAATCGTGCGTTGTAGTGAGACCCTTCTCCTCTCGTGTCCATCCTTCTCTACATTCCCATGGAGTACTGCGATGAGTGCTGCATCTTCTTCCCGATCCACCAATGCGGGCAAATATTGGAGAGCGGATCGTGGAGCGTCTGCTCGAGGTAGTCGGGAAACTCGCGCATAACTTACACCGTAGCTATAAATCGCACGCTCGCGCGTCGGGGACCGAGGCTTTGGGGGTGCGGATGCGATATTGTTGTCACTCGGTTCGAACTCCGTTCTGTTTCATGTCGGATTCAAGTCACAATGCTGCGACTGTGTTTCCTCGTGCTTCTGCCCGGCCAGGAAGCCCGATTGGGAAGCCCTGCCTCGCCCTGCGGAAGGCAGATTTTCTGAAGTCGGGACATATCGGACCTCATTATTATAACAGCTTATGCAACTTCGAATCTCATTGAACTTCCATTCTCATTTCGGATTCGTCCTCCTCAGCAGAGGAATTGTCAAGGCTACGTGCTACCTACGTTACTTCCAAGTCCATCGAGTACACTAACATCTGCACCATTCCTCACTAGATTCATGTGTATCCACTGAAAATCTACGAACCGCGCCAGGTATTTTCTGTTTCTGCTCTCATTCAAGTTGACGCCTTGTTCCTGGAGAAGTTGAATCCAGGCGAGATACCCTTCGGACGAAGCGAGGTGAAGTCGTCTTGCAATTCCTTCGCTATCGGGGAACCAATCTGCTAGCATCGCATGACGTCCGACCCACGCAGCTTGCAGCGGAGGCCCATATTGGCCTCCCTGCATTTTCACATTCGCCCCCTGGGCGACAAGGAAGTGGACCATTTTGTAGTGCCCAAGGTATGATGCTGACTGTAATGCACTCCCATATCTTCCATCCAGCATATCCAGGTCAACGCCTTTCTTGATAAGAAGCCCGATTATCTGGCGCTTGCCCTCGTAGGTTGCTCTGTGCAGTGTGCTCGCATATTCTCCGCATGGGGCGTTATAATCTGCGCCGTTCTCGATAAGGAACAGAACAATTTCATCGTGGTACTTGGACCATGCTGCCTCCAATGCGCTGCCATTTGTCCCGGACCGCGAATTAACATTGGCACCTAGCTCAATGAGGGCCCGAACGACCTTCTCATGGCCTTGGCTTGAAGCTATGTGGAGGGAAGTGCCATCCTCTCCCATTTGCGCATTAACATCGGCACCCAGCTCGATGAGGGTGCGTACAACGATTTCGTGGCCTGCTTTTGATGCTAGGTGAAGCGCTTGGTAGAATTCCCCATCCCGTGCATTAACGTCGGCCCCATTCTCAATGAGTCGGCGGACAACCGTTTCGTACCCTTCCCTCGCCGCTAAATGAAGTGGGGTGCAGTGCTTCCTGTCTTCGGCATTCACGTCGACACCCTTCTCAATGAGTAGCTGGCCAATGTTCTCGTGGCCAGTACGCAATGCTATGTGAAGTGCACTGCAAGACTCCTGATCCCGTGCATTCACGCTGGCGCCTTGGTCAAGCAGCAGGCGAACAACCACTTCGTGACCTTCGTTCGATGCTACGTGGAGCGCAGTTTGGAATTTCCAATCTCGTGCATTCGGGTCGATGCCTTTCTTGAGAAGCAATCGAACCATCTCGAGATACCCATAGAATGCTGCGACATGCAGCGCCCTGCGAGCGATCCGGGCTGACTTTCTTGGGGGCATTACATCCATGAGATATGCTGCTGTGCTGACGAGGTTGGCCGCTGCCGCAACCCACAGGGGTGATGTATTGGGCGGCCAATGCGGAAAGTCCCATGGAGGGCATGAAATACGCCTCAAGAGGCTTTTGAAGCTTGAAGCCTGTCCCAGAAACTTGACGATCATTTGCTGGAGGTCTGCCTCGGGCTGACCAACAGCATGTAGGAGGGCGTATTGACAGTAGCCGCGGTAGAGGTCAGGCACCGGCGATTCATTATCAAAGGCCAACACCGTGAGCAAAGTGCGTGTTATCTGTGTTTGCGCGTCCGGGAACCGAGAGGCCTGGATGCTGTCGAGATAATTCTGGGTGGTGTAGTGTACAAGTCGAACAAGGGATGTGTGCTCCTCGACAATAACCAATCCCGCGCAGACAGAGAGAACAATCTCAATGTCCACGAGATTCTCGGGGTCTAGTTGAACTGTTCCAGGCTCAATGGCTAGCACTTCTCGTAGCTCTTGAACTGTCAATGGTCGTTTGGCATTTGTAACCCAGACGAGAACGAAACGGGCAAGAATTCTCTTGTCTTCACTCTGATCTTCAATCCGCTCCCAGATATCGTCATAAGTTTGTTCCAAATTTCTTGGAAGACTTTTTAGAGTCTCTCGAACGGCCTTGACAGTAAGCTTTTGACGCAGACATTCCATCTGAAGCTTGGGAAGCAAGAACCTGATCAGGGACTACTGTAAATTGTTTGCTGTTTCATGAGGGTGTCACTCACATTCCATTCGCCCTGCTACTTATCGACAGAATGCTCTGCCTTATGCCCGGTTCAGCTTTGACATGGTTTGAAAGTTGCGGAGATATTTTGATCTGCTCATCCACATATCTCCAAACATCGTCATCTTGTGCATAGATATCTACGGCTTCATCGCCGAGATAAATATGGGGCCGCGACGTGAGCATGAGATTGACTGTGGGCCCCATGGCAACCAAGTGTTTACATAGGATATGCCGTTGTTCGTCCGGATATTCATCGAGGGCGTCCACAATAACATAAACCTTCGAATATTCGGTCAATGTGCAACGGAGGAGCTGCTGAATTTCATGCTCGGAAGGTCTAGTGCCTTTCTCAGAGTGTTGATGGTAAAGTTCCAGTGCAAAGGAACCGATACTTTTGTGAACCACAAGTTGCCTCCAGATGCTGGCAAGGAGGTTCGAAGGTGTCTGTGCTTCAGTTTCTTTGTGGTTCAAATATATCCACGCCACCCCAGTGTTCTGGGCGTTGGATTTGGCCATAAGGTGCTCGACGGTCATGGATCTAGGAAACTCGTCAGTGAATGGAA